GCGTGATAGAGATGTATCGTGAGGTAAATAGTGAAGAGGGCAACCGTTGCATCGCCGCTAACAATTCAATTTCTGAGTAACCAATTTTTATAATTTCATCCAAATCGGCCAGTCGGCAGCGATGTTCAAAGGTAGGACAAATAATCTGCTTATTATTGAAACAGTGAACTTTTGGCAAGTAAAAATTATCCCTCATTTGCACGGACTTCAACTAACCGGAAACGACGTTTTGCTAGTCATGTCTCATTACGTTTCTGTCCGATTGCTCGTGCATACACAATTTGCAGACGTAGCATTCGCTTGCTAGCATTGAAGATATTGATACACATCTGGCCAGCACCAAAAAATGAAAAACAAAACCGAAGGGCAAAACAAACATGACCTCGCGCCTTTCTTTTAATAAAATTATCATGGCTAAATACTGCATTCGTTTTCATATGGAGAAACACACTAAACAAGTGAGTTCCGCAACATTGAACAACGTTTAAAATGGTCCTATAAATTTGCCTTACTGGATATGTTGGAAAAACATCGTTGATCCGCTGAAAATGTGGAGTTCGTTTGGCGTACAAGCAGAAGTGCCCATCTTAGTTCAGTTACCGACGATCTTCTTGCAGTGAGCGTGAGTTGCTTGTGTATGCAAACAGCCTTGAATAAGTGATACCAGTAGTTTACAATTTTCGCGTATCATCTCGGGAGTTTTAAAAGGGCCAAAATTTGCACTTCAAAAGCCAGTAATAATCACTGCTGCAATAGATCCTTCAATGATGCAGGGAGTAATCTTTATCAGCTAAGAAACTTCCTGCCCTGAAACGTCATACTAACCGAATGTTCATTTTATGTCAACATAGACTGAGCAAAGTTTGAGTAGCTGAACGAATATTGCATTGTTTGCTGATTCATGGTTTCAGCCTATCTATTCAAGTAAAAAAATAGAGATCGTCGTTCAGCGGATATCAGGGCAGATCGACTCTGACCAGAAATCGTCGAACTCGAGACTTGTCTAATTCTTGTCCGGCCTCAAGAACACTTTTGAAAGTTTCTCAATTGGCAGAGTTCGCCAGTTTAGTGATGACGCACTTCGTAGACATGCTGGCTCAAATTATGTCAGGCGTTGTTTGCTGCTGCGAAAGGAGAAATATTTCTCCTAAAAGTAGTTCCGCTTAGTTTAGACATTTCAGTGATCTGTGTCTTCTCCAAGTGTCTTTGGGCAGTGACAGCTCGTGTAAAAGAAAGGTTTTGAACAAATTTCCATGTACTTTTCAGGCTAAATTAAATTAAACGGTACAGTTCAACTTTTCCCGCAGTTTTTTAGACGTGCTAACTGTTTTCAATATCTCGTGCGCATTAAACAGCGCCTACATGCGTAATATATCGCTGATGCACGGATTCAGTCAGGTGAAATATAATAAATCTGGACTGCCCTGCTGTTCAAGTTTAACTTAGCCTTAGATGGTGATGACGAGGACAAATTTGAAACATAGTGTAAACAGCAGTCAGCCAGTTTTCTGATTTGAGGAAGTGCAGTGCACTAGTTTCAGTTTGTGAATGACAGAGATCAGTTAGCAAATATCAGAAGCCAATCAGCAAAGGGAATAGTGCGACGAGGTGGTATTTGAAACTGTTGGTAAACATTTTGGTACCCAAAAGGCGCCTGAAAAGTTTTGCTTTATAATCAGTCACCTAAAATCTACTGTACTCTGCAGGGGAGAAGCTGAATTGGTTACAGTTTCGCATTCCTCGTTTCTTGCGCACTTATTTAATTTACTCCCAATTTGAAATATCAACCACTAAAAAAGTTCAGAAAATTATCTCAAGTTCACTGCTAGTTTTTTTCTGACACTGTTAGCACCTCACTTTAATTTTTCTGGCCTCATCAATGATTTAAATATAAAAGTATAATGTACCGCAGCAAGCAAAAGCTTGCACTTTCATGTGATTTACGTGTGATTTGCATGCTGCGGTTCATGTAATTTTCACAATAGTCCGGTAGGTTAATTTTCGTGGTTGAAAGAACTGAATATTTGATTGGTGAAATTGTTTCACAATTAAAGCAGCATTTTGGATAGTTTTCTTTTCTTGTGTGTGTTTTTCTTCGAAAATGGATCCACATTAAATGAAATGAACAAGAGCGAAATTTTATATCTTGTTTTTGCGTAAGTAGTCTATAGGATAAGTAAACCGTAAGGCTCAACTTGATTCGGCCTCGGCGGACAGTCACAACATCATCAGTTAGACCATTAATCTCACTCTGAAGAATATCCGTGATATAAAGGCCAAGACATTGGTCATGATTCCCTCTTTTCACCTGATATACCAACTGTTTCCTGTTGTGGCTTTTCAGTTTTGCTTCCATCGTGGTCACGCTTTGAGAAGGTCCTGAGAAAAACAAACCAGAACTACTGTGCTAAGCTTAGTTTTACAATAGTTTACACTATATTCAGGTGGCTTCTTCAGAATCATAAATTGTAGCTAATTACTCTTCAGTAATCATCATTAACGTCATTTTAAACTCAGTTTACCGTAAGAGACTCTCGTTTTAAAGGAAGTTCATATCAAGTTAAAGCAATTTTTTAAAGCGTCCGTGATACTTTTTGAATTGGTAGGTATTTTCAAACAAGAAGTTTTCGAAGGGAGCTGAATACTGGCTTTGCATTACAAATTACAAGCATTAGTTAATTTCAGTAGATTATTTCGCTTGATTATTTAAATAGTTCAGTTAGTATTCAGGGATGCTCAGCCACTGTTTAATCCAAAACAAGTTCAGCAACAATCTTGCATTTTAAAGTGGCGAGCCGCCTGCGGTGGGGTTGAACTTGATTGAATTGTCCTCCCGTTTTTCTGGCAGACTACCTCCATTTTGGTACCGGGGTAAAGGCTTTTCAATAGGTGATTTGGAATATTTTCATAATAAGATTGCAGGATTGCAACAGTAAGGCGATGAATTTGCAACCAGAAAAACGGGATGAAATAGTATACATATAATGAAAATCTCATCATGCATCACAGAAAACCATTCTACTCTTATTTCATGTATCTTTCTACCTGTTAGAAAATTGCAAAATCAGCCCAGCATGACTACCTTTGTTGTATGATGAAATTGTCGTTAAAAGTATATTTTTTTCTCGTTCCTAACTCATCGTCATTCTCTGACAATCTTACCCAGTACTAGAACATTCAAAATTATCTATCCAAAAGCCATCACTCCGGCACCAAACCTGGGGGTGGGGGTAGGGGGGAACTATACTAAGTTTGATTCTACCCAAAGATGTCTCGTTTCCTTCAGATACAAGATTGATGCTGATCTTGCTTAGATTCAGCAAGGTTTGCACATTCTCTGAATCCGAACAAAACGAGTTAAATAGCATTTATATCCACAACATGATAACTTCTGTACCCTTTCAAGTGGCATTCGCTTAACTGAGCAAGTGATTGGACTGCAGGTTGAACACGAAGTCATTCATTCATGAGTCCTGTGCTCCACTGAATTAACTGTAGTGTTAATTCTCGTCAGAATGAGATCAGCTACAAGTGTGTCTAGAAAGCATACGGTTAATGCAGAAGATATATTCCAATGTCAGCAAAAACAGCAGCGATTTCTTTATTCGATTATCTGTTTTTCAGCAGGTTTAAACATTAGTTCAAGATTCAAGTTGTGCTTTATCTTATACTATGTTTTTCATATGTTTTCAAGCGTTTGCGCCTTAGAAACTTTCATATTCTGAGTAATTCATGGTGACTCTAACCTTTCTAACATTTTCAGTACCGTTTTCTTCTGTGCAATTTAAACGCCATTCTTACTTCACTTACATCTACGTTTATAAGAGGTACAGCGAGAAAGTGTAGACTGTACATACTATACATAAGACTGAGTATTGATGCAGCTTAATAATATTTTCTGTCTATATTTGCAGAAAACATGGAACCGTGACTGAGCACCACGCTTTTGAATAGATGGAAAAATCTGATCGCACGATTAAGGATTTAGATCGCACGTTTAAGGATTCTTAAATTGGAAAGACTCTTATGTGAGAGATTTGGTGTATGGACTTCATATTTAGTACAGGATAAAGCTGCCTATACCTTTTAAAACATTAATAATTTGTATTAAAAATGACACTGGCACCTATTATGCCCTCTTCGAAAGAAAAAAAGAAAATTAAAATTGCAAATTTTCACTCCATCTTGGATGTGCAAAATATTAGCCATCAAATGATGCAAATGATATTACTTTCTCTTCAATTTTTGTTATCATCCATAAACATAGTCCAAATTTTCGGCTACATTAACCTGTAAATGCCGTTCTCAGTTTAGACAGCAGCGATTTAATGAAAGGCTTTAGCCATGGATTGTTCGAGAGTTAAGTGAATGGTAGCCGCAGTCGTTTGAGGCAGGTTTGTAATCAGTGCGTCAGACCCATACACAGATTCGCCGCAAAGACAATAAGAAGTCTGCAATCCCTCGGTGTCAGTGTCTCATCTTCTGGCAACTTCATGACTCATGAAAAATATTTACATCTCCTTAAGAGTAAAAGCGTAACATTGCCTCGTATCCATATGATCATGTGGTTCTGTATTCTGTGGTTTTTATTCTCCGCAACGGAAACATTAAGTATGCACCGCAGGTAGCATAGTTTGTATAATGACATGTACACGAAAGACATGAAAACCATCGATGATACTTCGTAAGCAATTATCTTTTAATTATCTTATTTCACTATCCATCAACTGTCAGCACATGTTTTTTATGATATCATAATATTCTGCGTTTTATTTTTATATTTATTTTTCAGTGAAACATGAATATACTGGTCAATACAGACCTGATTGTTTTATCGATCAAACGGCTAAATAGGCTGGCAGTGTTTTTTCGAGAAAATATGTAGATAGTGATCTAGCCCGCAATGTTTTCAACCGGG